TAGGTGTCTGGAGTGGGCCGACACCAGTATCTGATAGGAGTGAGCGCTTCCGTTGTCCGAACTCGCATTACTCCCATTACTCGACGATATGTTATAAGTCATTGTTGTCATCTCTGTGCCCGAGATGTATGTGTTGGGCACCGACTGGTGGTGCGCCTGTGCGGCACAGCCGAGCCGTTTGTGCCCTTTGGCCCGCACTCCACCCGACGACTTGCGTCGGATCCGCTTCTTGGCCACCAAATAGATGCGATAGTAGAGTATTAAGACGAGTGCCGACGGGCCGTAAAACGAGAACATTGTGGCGAATATCTGATAGGAGACGTCCTGCGAGACCAGACACCGCTTCTCCTCATTTATCCGGCGCTCAAAGTCCGAGTCTTTCCATCCGAGTATTGGCGCCAATGAGATGACGGCCGACACGACCCAAACCACGGCAATCATACCGCCGATGTGGCGGCCATTCCTCTGGTGCACGTAATCCACGTTAGTTACGGCCCAAAACCGGTCGCAAGCGATCGCTAACAGGTGTAATATGCTTTGTATCGATTGGGAAACAAATGTTTTTTATAAGTTATTAATTTTTTTTTGGTTTTTAATTAAATTTATATTTGCATTAAGCACACACATCTACTGAAATGTGTAAATAAAAATATACATACAGTGTGTATCAATATTAACCATACAGTAATTGAGTCTAACATTGAATTACAAAGTTAATAATGAAATAAAGCTATTTATGCGTTTAGTTAACTATTAAGTTGACTATTAATAGCATCAGAATATTTACGATAACTTATTGGATATGGGATTTATATTTATACAAATCGCTTATCGATAGCTAAATCTTGACATAATATTATTATTATGTTTGCCTTGAAATTAATTTTCATAAACCCATTCAACAATTATTATGTCAGAAAACTTAATAAACTTATTGAATGAGTTGAATGCACTTGCTTTGAAAACCATTGACAAGTGTTATTAATAATAGTATTTAATTAGAAAAAACCAAATTACTAAATCTGTTTAAATTAATACCAAGATTATATTGACAGGTAATATACTGTATATTGTAGTGTAGTGTAGAATATTGTGTTAAGAATTAATTAACAGATTTATTAACATGTTTTTTCTACAAATCTAATTATTTCTTAAATATAATCTACACTATAGTCTGTAATTCTGGTCTAAAATAAGGGATTACCAGTAATTTCTTTGCTTAAATCTTAAACTAACAGTTAATTCTCGTATTTATAGTGCACTCAACCATCAAATCCATTGCAAAAGGAATTTATATTTAATTAACGTTTTATTTGTTTGTTTACTACAAGTCT